TTGTAATATTATCATACAGAAACTTCATGATGATTATAGAATATCTAGTTTTCTCTAGTTCTTTTTTTCTTCATGCTTGTTAATTAATAGAGATTTGTTGTCTCATTAGGATTAGTAAGGTAAGACCTTGCCCCCCTTACTTATACTTATCTCTATTTATATCTTTTAATTTTAAAAAAAATAATAAAAATTATCCAAGCTTAATGTTGGATATCCTACTTTATCATATTAAATTTATAATTATTTTACATGCTTTCTAAATAGGATAAATTAGTCACAAAACTATGATCACATGATAGTTTAATCTACGAATCAGATAACCACTTCAAATTTGTAACCAAATAAATAAAGAGATCATTTATTCTGGATGACAATGGATTGTTACACATGGCACTAACGAATAGTTAAGACTCATAATTAGTCGTATGGTGTCAAAAATAAGCCCAAACATAGATTATTCATCCAATTTATTTAGAATTTTAATAGTTGTGCTCAAGATAATTTGAATTGGTTCAATCTCAACTTATTCAAGGCTTAATTCATTTTAAGAGAATCCTCAATTGAGCCCAATCTAATTTTCAATTTCAACCCGTTTTAAGACTCTTTATTTGCATTAATATAATGTACGTTTCTATATTGAAGATATGAATTACTATCTATTTTATATCTTATAGAATTTATTTATCCATTTGTAATATTATTATTTTTTAAAAATAATTGAGTTTAAATTCAAATTGTAGTTATAAAAGTTAAGTTAGAATATGTTAAAATTATAAAGATCCAGCAGCTCAATTTGGATGTATCATGACCTAATCCGATTTTTAGCCTATTTGAGCCCAAAATTAACTTGGATGGATCAACACCTAACCCAATTTATATTTCAACATATTTTAATATATTTAATTTCAATCCAACCCGCACATTAGACACTTTTAATTAGTCATAATAAAGCTAGTTTTTCCATTAATTAGAGCCTGTTTGGATGGGCTTTTAAGCTGGTCAAACTGGCTTAAAAGTCAGTTTTTGACTTAGAGCCCGTTTGAATTGACTTTAAAAAAGTAACTTTTAAAAAGTAACTTTTTAAAGTGCTGGAACTTATTTTTAAAATAAGTAGTTATGTGTTTGGATAAAAGTGCTGCAGTTGAAAAAAAAGTTGTTGATGTGTTTGGCAAATAAGTGCTGGTAAACACTTTTTTTTATAAAAAATGTCTGAAATACCCTTTAAACTGTTAACATGATAAAAAGTTGATTAATTTAAGGTTTTTATACTTAAAAAAAAATTAAAACAAAATTAATTTATGTTTTACATCCATAAGTAATAATATTTTTCTATCATTCACATATTTCTTTACCACCTTATAAGAGGAATATAAATTCATATTTCAGAAATAAAAATAATAAAATAATAATAGTAATAGTAATAGTAATAGTAATAATAATAATAATATAATAATAATAATATTTATAATTATAATAATAATAATTATTATAATAATAATAATAATAATAATAATAATAGTAATAGTAATAATAATAATAATTATAATTATTATAATTATAATTATTATAATAATAATAATAATAATAAAATAATAATAATAATAATAGTAATAGTAATAATTATTATTATAATAATAATAATAATATAATAATTATTATAATTATAATAATAATAAACATAATAATAATAATAATAATAATAATAGTAATAGTAATAATAATAATAATAAACATAATAATAATAAACATAATAATAATAATAATAATAATAATAGTAATAATAATAATATAATAATAATAATAATTCAATATGGGCAATTTGGAAATTGTATAAAAGAATTAAGGGCAAAAAGGTAATATACTTGGTCAACATAAAAGGACTTTTAAGTTAAAAAAAAAAAAAGAAGCTCCCCTCCCCTAGCTTTTAGCTTTTGGCTTAAAATAAGTCATTTTTGACTTAAAATAAATCACTTTGATAATTGTCAAACACTCTAATAAGTCAAAAACTGGCTTTTAAGCCAGTTTGACTAGTTCCAAACAGGCTCTTATTAGAGTGTTTGACAATTATCAAAGTGACTTATTTTAAGCCAAAACTAAAAGCTAGGTGAGGGGTGCTTTTTTTTTTTTTTAACTTAAAAGTCCTTCTATGTTGACCAAGTATATTACCTTTTTGCCGTTAATTCTTTTATTACTATTACTATTATAACTATTATTATTATTATTATTATTATTTGCGCATATAAAATTAACTTAAATAATAAATTTATATTCCTCTTATAAATAATTTGTGATGATAAAGAAATGTGTGAATGATAGGAAAATATTATTACTTATGGATGTAAAATATATATTATTATTATTATTATTATCATTATTATTATTATTATTATTATTATTATTATTATTATTTCCTTTGATTTATTCAAATGATATATTTTTAAAATCTACAATAAGTTGCGCATATAAAATTAACTTAAATAATAAATTTATATTCCTCTTATAAATAATTTGTGATGATAAAGAAATATGTGAATGATAGGAAAATATTATTACTTATAAATGTAAAATATAAATTAATTTTGTTTTAATTTTTTTTCAAGTATAAAAATCTTAAATTAATCAACTTTTTATCATGTTAACAGTTTTAAGGGTATTTCAAACATTTTGATAAAAGAAAGTGTTTATCAACACTTATTTGCCAAACACATCAATAACTTTTTTTTCAACTGCAGCACTTTTATCCAAACACATAACTACTTATTTTAAACATAAGTTCCAGTACTTTAAAAAATTACTTTTTTTAAGTCAATTCAAATGGTCTGGTAGATCGAGACTTTGAATATTGGAATAGGGAACGTTGGAGAGTGTAGGACCAGTAAAAGGCTGTAAAATAGAAAGTATAATAAATATTCAGACTTTTACACAGTAAAATTTAGCCTCTACTCACATAGTCTGTAAATTGTGCGTACGCAGCGCAGAACTTCTCTGCTTTTCCAATTAACTGAAAACTCTCTGCCTCTCTCACATGACGAATATGACTCTTATATGCTCCTCAGTTTTTATTTAATTTATTTTACAAAAATGTCTTTGATATGATTTTAATTCTAAATTAATTTAAAATTTTCAAAAATAAAGAATATTTTGAAATATTCTATATATTAGAATTATTAAATTCAAAAAATTTATTTTGTCTGTCTTAATTTATATAACTTATTTTCTTTTTTAGTTTGTTCAAAAAATATGAAACTTTTTATATTCAATAACAATGTATTTTTAAAATGTTCATTTTTGTCATAATAAAATGATTCATAATCACACAAATATTTATCACTTATTTTAAACACAAATTTCAAATTTTTTTCTTTCTTAAATTTCATACAAGTCAAACTAATTCATATAAAATAGGATAGAGAAAGTACCCTCCCCGTTCTTATTTAAGTCAGCATTTTAGATTCACATCTCTTATAAACAAAGTAACTTTAGCATTGTACTTTTATTTAGGGAAAAAGGGTCTGATATACTCCTCAATTTTGTCATTTATAGCTAATATACCCCTCGTTATGAAAATGGCTCGTATATATCCCTACTTATATGCAAATGGCTCACATATACCCTTTTACTCTAATGGAAATGAAAAAAATTAATTTTAGTTAAACTTTCTATTTTTTTTTAAAATAAAATAAATCCCATATGAGTATATTTAATCCTCCTCAAACATATTTTATTTTTTTTACATTTTTTTTGTTTCAATGATTAATTTAGATTTATTATTTTGATTGTCAAATCTATTTATGTTTCACTAATATTCTTGTAAAACTTATTATAGATGACCAAATTTTTTTCTTCAAATACAAAAATTAAATTACAATATAGACAAAAAAGAATAGTTTTAAATTATAAAATAGCCACAAAAAAATAGTTTTAATTTTTTTTCTTTACACTAAGGAATGAAAGAAAAAATAAATAAGAATAAGAACTCAAATAATTATAATCAAAAAAGTCAAAAAATAATTTATGTATGAAAAAAATTAAAATATACCTTGAACTTTACTAGAAGAATCATATATACCCTTAATAATTTTTAAGAAAATTAAAAGTCAAAAATATGAATTAAAACTAATTTCTTCAATTCCATTAAATGAAGGGTATATGTGAGCTCATTTTGTAATTGTAGGGGTATATGTGAACCGTTTGTATAACGGTAAGGATATATATGAGTTACTTTTATAACAAGGGGCATATCAACTCCAAATGACAAAGTTGAGGGGTATATCAAACCCTTTTCCCTTTTGTCATATAATATTTGTCTACGATTGACTTTCCACATTTTGAAACTATAAATAGAAGGATAATTTTATTATATCACCCTATGAATATACTCCTTCTGTCCCTAATTACTTGTCCATATTTTCTTTTTTAGTTGTCTATAATTACTTGTCCATTTTGACAAATCTAGAAAAGATAATTTTTTTACCTATTATACCCTCAATTAATTACTTTGAAAAATGTAGAACTTTTTGAAAACTTAAGTTTTTAATTCATCTACTTCATAATTAATCGGGGTAAAATAATAAACTAACTATGTCAATTAATATTTTCTTAATAAGTGTGTCAATTCAAAATAAACTAGTAATTAGGGACAGCGGAAGTAATAAATACAATATCTTGATTTTATAAATTGAACCAGCATTATTATTGAAAATTTAAAAATAGTATAGTGGACAAGTATGGTCGGTTTTAAAACTCAGTTTCAATGGAGTATCTATCTTCTTCCTTGGCATGACAGTATAAAATGACGAGAACTAATACAAACGTCTTGCACTGCTCCTCTCAAAAAGTAGAGAAGCTTACATCACTCTGTTTTTGCGAAGCTCCAAACCCCTAAAGCTGCCCTTATTTATAGCCTCACGTTTTCACTCTCATTTGTCCAATTCTTCTTTCACATTTTGCTCATTTTCTCACTTGTCTCTCTCTACACTCTTTGCTTTGTTCATACACCCATGGAATCATTTAACTTTCTCAAATTCTGGCGTACTACCGCCGCTGTTAGGGATATTGACTCTGATTTTGATTCTGTTAAAAAGTTTGCCGATACTGTGGATTATAAAGAGAATCCGGCACCATTAGAGAGTACTGATGAAGAAATTGATAACGATGAGGATTCATTTTTCGATTTGGTACTTACGGGGATTAATGGATACCCAAAAGAAAATAACTCCTCCAACTCTGTTTCTGAAAAGAGTTGTCCGGTAAAGCAGGGGAAGGGAAAGTTGAACTCGCCGGAGTCCCCTAGAGATGTTTTTTTTACACCTAACACGAAACCTCAATCCCCGAATTCGGTACTCCGATCATCTCCCAAGTTTGCCGTATGCTTCTTGGGGTTCAGGAAATCAAAGCCGGAAAGAGTGATCATTGACGATTCTTCTACGGTGACTCAGAAGATTCAAACCCAAAAATTCAAGGTGGAAGAAAGGGAATCTTCAATTAACAACTCGTCAAAGCAATTTGCAAGAGCTGATATGGGGAAGTATTTGAAATTGATGAAGCCTCTCTACTCTAGAGCTTCGAAAAGGTTCACCGAGAAAAATCAATTATCATCTTCTTCGTCAGTGCAATCATTGAGCTCACCAAGGATTTCATCAGAAGAGAAACACGGAAACAGAGTCGCTGTACTTGAAGCTGTCCGTAAACGGCTAGGGAAAAGCCGGTCGACAGCTTCTTCCTTCGCCGGAGCTTCAATTTTGCCGATGAATCGCCGAGACGATTCACTCCTGGAGCAAAATGACGGAATCCAAGGCGCTATTCTACATTGCAAGAGATCCTACAGTTCAGCCCGAAAAGGTAAATCAAATTTTCATTACTGCACTTATTAATATTCTTTCTTTATGTAATACTATTGAACTAATATTAATTTTGGTTTTTTAACAGACTGTTCGGTGTTATTATCAAGAAATACAAATGAAGATCTGCCAAGAGCCTCTTGTGAAGAGCATAATCGATGGAGTATCTAAATAAAATATCTATGAGTTTTTCAATATTTTGAAACTAAATTAGATAGAATCATGGAAACAGAGGATTTGTCTTGTTCCTATTGTTGATGATATCATTATAGAGTAATTTTGTTTCTCACTGTTTAGAAAAAAGTAGTATGATTTTCGATGTAAAGTGACTGAGTAACAAGAGGGAGTTGTGATTTTTTTATAAAGATCTTTTAAGTGTTACAGAGGTTTTGTGTGAAGTATAAATGTTCAATTTGGTCATTATTATGTTCTGAATCAAAGTTGTCACTATTGCCATGGCATTCAGAACGATACAAGATGTGTTACTGCGCGCACTATTTATGCACTTCTTAATATTTATATTAGGCGATGCATTTTGTGAGTTATTTTGGAAGAATAATACAAGACAATATAATTATTTGTTGCCAACTGAAAGCTCCTTGACTTAGATTGTTAGCGCCGAACGAAAAAGCCAAAATCAGGATGCAAAGAGGAAATTCAACGATACCTTTGTTTGTGTAAAAGAGCACAACGATTACAAGTAAGACATTTTGGTGTCAAGGGGTAGGAGACACTAATACAATTATGGAAAATTTTGACTGTGATATCCCTTATACTATTTTCTTTAAAAAGAAAAAAATGACATAAATAAGCTTGGATTATGATGCAAATACAAGAAGTAATTAAAATTACTACATGTATATAATTGGTCTTGTAGGCAGAACTTGAATGAATTGTGTGCTATTGTCTATAGCGCTCCAGTATGTGGACATTGCACAAAGGCATCAGTTGACCTTATGGGCCCCAGCAAGTATGTGGACATCAGTTGACCTTATGGGCCCTGGCTGTGGGGCATCTGCTTGTTGGTGCTGGCTGCGGGTAAGCGCTACTTACTGCCAGCCAACAGGCAGCCTTGGCATGACTTGCTTGTAGTTGCGGACGAGCACATATGCACTTGTCACTTGGAGTGACCAAGACCATGGGGTTGTCCATAGCATTAGGCCAAATTTCATGAAGGATCTCCAGGTGGAGCTGCTACTAGAGTGCATGTCTTTGATCTTTCAAGATGTCTGTAATCACGGGGCTACATCAAATTGTCATGTCACAGGTGACACAAAATATGTTATTTAACCACCTTATTTAAAAGGACAAATTACTTAAGTACACAACATTACTTTACCTATTCTCAATATTTCCCTACTCTTTTACTAAAATACAAAAATTCCTTATGTTCCCCCAATTCAACTTAACCGGATACTTTATTAGTTTAAGTATCCGCCCGTTATTAATTAAAGTATCTGCGCTGCTATATTATGCGTCCGCCCGTTAATTTAAGTATCCGCCCTTATTAATTAAAGTATCCATGCCAACAACTTAATAATTTACGTATCCGCCCTTTATTAATTAAAGTATCCGCGTTGTTATATACTGTATCCGAAAGACACTAAAAAAGGGATTTTTGGTAATTAATGAAAGAGTAGGGATAGGAAGTAATTTCCTTCTTATACTATGTGATTTGCCTAATTTTTACTATTTAAAAATTTTACTTATATATATGATATAATATTTCAACAAAGTGTGTTCAATTGGATACCCTGACATGAGTGTAGCTACGCCCCTAGCGTTGAAAGGCTTGCTAGAGTACCATGACAGATATCGTGTTGGTTGGATGTGCAATCTTTGTTAGGAACAAATTACATTTTGATTTTTAGATTTAATTCCAAGTTCATCCTCCCATTAAATTTGTGTGGCATAACTTGATTCGAAATTTAAAAAGAATTGTTTTTCTTTGAAATATTTAATTTTAAATATAGCATAATATTTATGTGGTTATTGTTTTTTAGTTTTTCTTTCTTTCTTTTACCTTTAACAATAATATTTGAAATTAAATATTTCCAAGAAAAAAGATCTAATTGTTATTTTATTTTTAGTTTTTTAAAAAAAGTCTTCAAATTACACTAATTTTCCAAATATGAAAAGGGTCATTTCCTTTAAAAGTGTCCGCTTATGTGAAACAAGCCAGTGAAACGTCATTAATTTTTCACCTTAACTTGTAACTTTCAGTTTAGAATCATTTTTTATTTGATCAGGGATTAAATAATAATTGTGATCTCCGAATCACTCTTTCTAATTATTTATATATTATATATCTATTCTAATTTTGTCATTTCTTTTGTTTAATGTAAGAAATAATTGCATATTTATACATTTTTATATATATTTTAGCACGTATTTACCAAATACCTTTATCGATTAATATTAATTTCAACACAACTATACAAATAAGTAATTGATTATTTATAAAAATTAGTTTCAACAAATAAAAAAAAAATTGAATACGAATTATTTAGCAGCAACTAGAGCACTTTTTCAACCGATTAATCAAAATGGACTTCCATAAAATAAATGATTAATCATAAAATAGAAAAAAAGTAAATTATTCTCCATTCATCCTAATTAATTACGTGATACAGTTTTCTTTTTAATATGTCTAAAATAGAACATCACTTTTAAAATTAGAAATAAAATTACTTATCTTTCCAATTTTATTATTCCCTCTGTCCCTAATTACTTGTTCACTTTTCCTTTTATTGTTGTCCCTAATTACTTGTCCATTTTTTACAAATCAAGAAAGGACAATTTTTTTTTACCTATTATACCTTAATTAAATGACTAATTACTTTGAAAAATACAGAAATTTCATCCACTTCATAATTAATAGGGGTAAAATAGTAAACTCACTATATCATTAATTGATTTCTTAATAGGTGTGTCAATTCAAAAGTGAATAAATAATTAAAAATAAAAAGAGTAATAATAGATCAAATAGTGTCACATTAATTGAAAAGACGAACGAAGTAGTATTTACACAACAATAAAATTCGGCTCCCATTGTTTGGGAATTGGGATAGAGCGCAAGCGCTAGCGCTAGCGTATACACGGGAAAAAAAGTGGTGTTTGATTACTCCACATCCACGCTCTTCAATTCATGCAAATCTTATGGCAAAATTTACAGTTAGTTGCAAGGCAAATATATATAATTAAAGAGAAGTCATAAACAGAGCCATGCAAATTTTGAAGTGGCATATCAATCATGATCAAATTTATTGGTGATCGTGATAAAATATTAGCTGTAGTCAATAAGAGCAAGTATTTATGAATAGTGTTATTACAGCGGCGCTGAACAGATGGGAATCAATCTGTAGTTAACTTTAAAACGTAATCTTTACAGAAACTTGATAACCACGCCTATATTTGTTTACGTCATTAACTAGTAACTAGTATAGTAGTATTTTCTGCTGCAGCAGCCTTTTTTAATAAGTCATAAAGTATTGGCTAACGGCAGCCTACCTAATTCCTCATTCCTACTGCTTAATTCCAGCTAGCTCACTCATATATTATAGTTACGATTTTGGCGGGATTATTTATTTTTATTTTTTAATTTGAAATTGAATTTCAAAAAATATGTTTACTAGTAAAATTTTAGAAATTTTTTGAATCAAACTTGAAGTTCAGTTTGGGTTTTTCCGAGTGGTGGAAAAATCAAACCCAATTCATATTATACGACCCAATCAATTTAGGTTTGGATTGATTAATGACTAAATTAGGTTTTGGATCTAATTTACACCCTAAAAGTTCGCTTAAAAGAAGGTGGATTATTCAAGCTTTATAAAAAATCTATTGATCTCATTAAACCACCAATGTGAGATTTTTGTCTTTCTTTAACGCCCCACCACATGCTCAGTAGTGCTTAGCATTTGGTGCATGGACATTTTGATTTTTTGGGGGTCCTAACATTGGGTAAATGAGCCCTGCTCTGATACCAAGTTAAATTAAGTCTTGAGTCTAATTTACATCCCAAAAGGTAATTCAAAGAAAGGATGATTTCCCAAAACTTACAAACAGTTAACCCATCACATTAACCATAAATGTGGGACTTGTGTCCTTCTTTCATATCAACTCATTTCGGCCTAATCAATTTAAATCCATTAAAAAAATGGTTGATATGTAATCAAAATTGATTTTTAAGAAATCTTGTCAAAATATTTTTTTAATTTTGTTTTTGATTTTATATGTTATAAATAGTTATAATGAAGAGAAAAAACAAAAATATTAGGTACTAAAAGCTTATAAAATAAAAAAATAAAGGTATTAAAATTTAGTAAGAATTAGGCGGGTTGGGTTTGATCCGTTACTAACCCGTTTTTGTCTTAATCCATTTTGATATGTCCAAATTTAAATCAACCTGCCCAATTATCACCCCTAATTTTTTCATAAAAATATCAAAAAATTATTATTATTTTCACTAAAAATATAACTATGTATCTTGATCGAACACAATTTTAATTTCGAAAAATGATTTATTTATTTTTTCAAATACTCTCAAACTTGCATTGTCAAACGACCCCGAGTAATTTGAGAATCTCTATACATGAATGAATGCCTGCAATATTAACGAGAGAGCGCCGATTTCATTAAAGCGATATCAATTTATACCTGTCTAACAGGTGGATTTGACCCCTTTCTGAACAGGTTCAGGGGCTAATTTTAAGTTTATTAAATTTAAAAAAATACTATGAATATGCAATGCTAAGCAATTAAATATTTATTATATAAGTTAGTTTTATTTAAAAAAATATATATATTTGAAAATGCAATCGGCTCAAACCTTGTCCCAAGTCCAGTACCCCGTGCCAAATAAAGCGTCTAAATAAATGGATTGCTTCTACTACCGTCAAAAGTGCCTATGGTATCAGTTCATCCTTAATCGATCGGGTTCAAAATTTTTGAGTCTACTGGCCCAGTCCTTTAACATGTATAATATAATTATAAACTGAATGAAATTTCCCCAAAACTTTTAGGAAAAAATATTTTAACACATAACTAATTTTAATATAATCTCTAAAATTTTCTAGAATTTAAATAAATTTCAAAAATACCCCCTTAGAAACATCACTCCTCTCTCGTTGATACATTCCTATCTCCTCTCGAATACATCCCACACCTATATA